TGGGTGGGCAACTGCAGTCGGTGCATGGTGGGCCAATTGTGTCACTGTTTCTCTGTGTCATGAAAGATCTCAATTGAGCGGCGGCAGCCGGCCTAAGGGCCGATGCGCAACAGCGCTTGCCGCTGCATGGCTCCCCATGTGCTGGGGGCCCATCCTCCGGGAGCCAGCAGGCAGGAAGCTAGCCAGCCAGAAGGCTGGCGCTCCCCACCCGCAGCTCCCTGTGTGCCGGAAGCCCTCCTTCTGGGAAACCCCGAGGCCGGGAGTGAGTCCTCGGTCCAAAGACAGGCGCTCCCCGCCCGAGGCTCCCCGTGCGCTAGGGGCCCACCCTCAGGGAGCCAGCAGGCAGGAAGCTAGCCAGCCAGAAGGCTGGCGCTCCCCACCCACAGCTCCCTGTGTCACTGAGCTTTTATGATTGAGTTAAATCACACAGTTCAATGGCTTTTAGGACACCCAGTGCAGGTAGCCACCGCCCCTTTAATTCCAGAACATTCCCATCACTCTCTGGTGAGAGATGCACGTCCAGTACGCAGCATCATTGACGCTCTAAGATGCCCCTCCTCCATGGGATAGTCTAAATGTGGCTCTCGAGACCTCACGGCAGCTCCTGTCCTGATTTGTCTGGACCACACGCATCGGTTAGCTTTCCCTTGGGGGGCTGCTCTTAGCAGAAGCCTTTCCTGATATCTCACCCACATTTGCTCAACTAGCACCAGACATTGCAGCTTTGCATAATACAGGTTACCCTTGGCGTCAGTAGGGAACGGCTTCCCGGATGCCCTACCGATAACCAAAATCCAAAGAGGCTCTAGTCCCATACAGAAATGGTCTAGCCTTTGCACATAACTTACATACATCTCCTGCACTTTAACTCATCTGTAGATTATTTCTACCTAACCCAGTGTAGGCACTACGGAGACAGCTGTTGTACTCTACTGTTTAGGGAATAAGGACAAGGAAAAAGGCCTGTATGTGTTAAGCACAAAAGCAACTATTTTCCCCCTGAATATTTTTGGTCAGTGTTTGGTTGAATCTGCAGATGTGCGACCTGAAGATACAGAGGGATGACTACAGTGGATCCCCAAAGTCCTAGAGCTCCTGCAATTGTAAAAAAACCACGAATTTCAGATATGGTCAGAAAAATGTCTATAAATGCCTATTTTTACAGTTTAAACCCTAACTATGCAATGTCTCCCACAGTTCTGTAATTTAATAAAATGCTGTATACATCACTGTAATAATTTAAATTTAATTTAATAAAAATGCTGTACAATAGTTCAACCTTCTCCCAGAGTGTCTTAAACTTCTGGCACGGAGGCTCATTGCCAGAGGCCTCACAAGGTGCAGGGCCTTTGGCAGCATCTTGGGGCTCGCAGGGCTTTAGGAAGAACAAAACTGAGGACCGAGATAGCTACACGCAATCAGCAACCTGTTGTGATGCGGCAGTGCTGGTGCTGGTTACAGAGCAGGAGCCAATCAGCAGCCAGGAGAACTGAGTAACGCTCTCGGATTGGCTACTTGCAAACCTGCCAAAATGAAAAATTGCGGAGGATACAGTATTTGCTGTTCCTGCAAAACTGCGGGGGTTTCTGAAAACAATAGTTAGGTTCTAAGGAAAAATCCTGGAAGGTCGGATACCGCGGATTCCGAAGCTTGACTTCGCGGGGATGTATTGTCAATCCCACGCTAAGCCTGTAGGTTTGAGCGCTGTCTCTTCTGCTACATTGGGACTGGGCAGTCACCGCTGACGGTCGTGTCCTTGTGCCTGGCATGTGACAGGTGCTCGGAGATTTGCGGACATCAGTCCTGGGGATCCAGGTTCCCAGAGATCCTGTGACTGCACTGTGCCTTCATCTGTATTCCCACGGAGAGTCGTTGGGCAAAGCACAAGCCGGACTTACCTCCTGGAGAAGTCAGCTTCCCGCCTCTGGCCAGCACCGCTCAGCTCAGATGTAACTTGCTTTTTGGGAAGGTCCCCCTCCTCGGGGTGGAAATGTGGACTGGTTTTCTTTGTTCAGTAATTGCTAGCAATTCTACTCGTTGAACTCTCTTCGTGGCTGGGTGTCAGGTGATGCTTAACGGCATCCCAGCAGATTTCATAGCCTTCAGGTTACTCTTGGTTACGATGAAAGTTGGTTGGGAATATAAGCCTTCGTCATGTTCAGAGCACACATGCAGCATATGTTGTGCACCCCGCACACCTCCCCATCTTCTGGCATGGGGCCCGCCTGAGGTCTTGCTTTAGCCTGTTCCCAGGAGGACAGCTGCAAGGAAAAGGGATTCTTCCCACGTGACAGCTTACAAGCAATTATGGGAGGGTCTTGGCTTTGTTCCAGGTATCAGGCTCTGAGCAATGCTGGTGGTCTCCACTCACATGAAGATCTCTGTGGATGCTTATGTGTTGGGACCCTGTCATTCCTATGACAGTTCATCTTGACGGTCAGTCTCACTGGCTTGAGAGACACCTAGGAAATCAGTAAAGCACACTTCTGGGTTTGCTGGGCTGTATTTGTGAGGTTTCCAGAGGCAATTCATGTGTGGGGCAGTGAGGAGAGAAGACCCATCTATAGGGAGGGGCCCTAGAGGGAACTAAAGTACAAGGTGGAGGAAGCCACCAGCAAGGGCTCTCTTGCTGTCTCTCTGACTCTTCAGGGGTGAATAGCTTTCCTCGATCACATCCTTTCACCATGATGCTCTGCCCTGCCTTAGTCCGAAAACCGACTGAGCCAGCGAGCCATGGGCTGGAACCTCTAAAACCATGAGCCAAAACAACCCTTTTCTCCTTGAAGTTGCTCTTCTCAGGGATTTTGTCATAGTCATGGGAAGCTTACACACTTCCCAAGAATGGTCATTTTCTCTTCCCATCCCTTTCCCAAGTGAGCCTTCCTATTGTTTGGCTGAAGAGCCATCCACGGTCTCTGCTCCTCCGCTAATAACTGCTAGGGTGGTTTCCATCCTCTTGGAGGACCAGGCTGGGGCGGACGTTTTCCGGGCACACCCCACCTCTTCAGGCCTCCGCAGGTATCCCACCTTGAGAGATCTGCGCCAGGAGCATGTTTCTGTTTAAGTGCAGCCCAGTCCCCCCGCCAGCGATCCTCTCTCTCCACGCACGGCTCTGTCGGCGGCACCAGGGTGGGGCCACAGTCTGTGCAGTTCATGAGCGGTGCCTCTGCAGCAAGAGGCTGCCCCTTCGTGAAGATCCTAGTCTGTATTTTTCACTTTCTTTGGCTGCAGGGCGGGGAGCCATTCCTCTCTCCTACCAGGGACAGAGACAGCTTTTCTCTAGGGATTCCCCCAGTGCTGACTTCTCCTCAGGCCTCTTCCTCTCCTGGCATCACTCAGGGAGCCCAGCGCTAACTTGGGAATATGCTGCTGTCAGTGACTTGGGGGCCCTGAGCCACATGTACTAGAGTGATCGGGACAATCACGTAGCAGATCTGTTCCTCCTCTCCAGCTGCCGTGAGCACTGCGGAGGGTCTTGTTTATCCTTGTAGTCCCCGGTCTTGACTCCCACCTGGAATAACAGACAAAGGACCAGTTTGTGGAATTAAATTCCTTGGGGGAGAAGAGAACAAAGTGGCCTGGCTTTGTCTCTGTGTGTACACGCTCCCAGGAAGACGTGTCCTCTTCTGAGACAGCCTCTTTTTTTCCCCTGTGCAAGGAGGCTGGGATTGATGGACACTTCTTTGAGCACGCAGTGGAACAGTCCACAGGCCTGGCCTTCCTCTGGTGCCTGAGTGTGAGGGCGTTTCCATGGCAATGGCAGGCTCCCCTCGCCCCTCCAGGTTGCAGCCCTGCTGCAGAGGCGAGGGCTGCCCAGGGCCGGCTTGCTTCTCTGGGCTCAGGCTGCAGCAGCTGCCTGGTTGCCTGTGCACTTCCCCGGCACCCTGTCAGGACAGCTCATCAGGAGCACTGTGGGGACACTGACCCGGAGACAGAGACAGGACAGGGCCGTGCTAAAGAAGCGCCTCCAGCCTCCCGGGAAGGCTAAGGGGAGTACACCGTGGAAAACTGGGCACGCACCTCGAGCGACACAACAGCGCCTATTTCAGTCCTGCCGTGTACTTAGAGCAGAGGGACCAAGGTGGTTGATGGGAGAGTTGGGGAAGGAGAGACGGGGGGGTTGGGGGGGGAGACATATTTTGAAAAAGAGTCAGAACAGAAAACACCACAAATCCAGAGCTGCTGACCCTCGCGGGAGAGATGTATTTCTCAAGTGTAAGATCATCCTGACAGGGACATTCTATTAGTGCATTTGTGTTTCCGTCACAGAATACCTTGCATTCGGTGGCCGAAACACAGCTGAGATGTATTTCCTCACAATTCTAGAGGCCTGGACTTGAGGGGTTGGAAGGGTCAGCTCCCTGCTGAAGCCTCTTGCCTTGGACTGCGGATAAAGCAAGGGTTAGAATTGCAGGGAGCAAGGACTAGGATGCTCAAGGAAGAGAGTGACGCTGGGGTTGCAGTAGACCATCAGTGGCTGTCTGCTCTGGTGAGATTCTCAGCCAGAGCTGGAGGGCAGAGGGTGGGAGTGTCTGGAAGCAGCAGGGGGTGCTCAGGAGGACACTGTCCCACCCTTTGGTTGGGGTGGGAGGTGGAGCGGGGATCCCTTCCACTGCTGCTCATGGTGGGGTAGTGGTTGGGGAGAGATGGCAACCAGGCAAGCCAGGGCTCCCTCTAGCTGTGAATTATGACTCAAGCTGCTGTTAGCACTGACACATTTATATATTTTAATTAAACATATATGAGGATAGCACTTCTGAGTTCTCAGCTGCTTAGTCTACGTGAATCAGGATGAAGATTCATCAGAAGTTCTTTTCCCTAGAAGTGGAACAATAGGGACAAATAGTTTAATGCTCCTTTGGGAAATGCAGGAGGTCCCTAGGACTGAGGCAGAGCCCCTCTTTATGGCTTGGAGGATTCCACCTCCAGGTTAATCCTGATGTCCTGGGGCCAGTAGCCAGAGCACGGGAAAGAAAGATTTGGCTTAGAAGACATGCATTTGCCAGGAGGAGATGAGGAGCAAAGCGGGAGTGTGGAGCGGTGGTGGTGAGGTCTGCAGGAACAATACCCCTGACGTGTGACTCTGTTTGCCCTTTAGAAGATCTATCTTATAGCAGCGAGTCCTCCGGGGTGTCCGGAGATCCCAGGGTCCCTAATGGATTTGACAGGAGGTCAAACCCATTTTATAGTAATACTAACATGTTATTTTCCTACTTAACTGTTCTCTCACAAGCATGCAGTGCTATTTTTCGGAAGCTCCTGGAAGTGTGATGTCACAGAAGATTGAATGCAGAAGCAGCTGTGAACGTCCAGCTGTCTTCTTATAAGCCAACATTAAAGAGATCTGCAAAAAAATGTAAAGTGGTATTAGCCTTCGAGCTACATGTTATTTTGTTTCAGACAATAGTTATTTTTCATAAAATACGTTAATTGCATTAACATTAATAAGCTTAGGCCGCCAATGTTTAACTCAATGAGCAAATATTTAAAAACTTCAGTTTTAAACAAAACAAAAGCTTTAAAACAAAAGTTTTTTCTATCTTCAATAATTTTTAAGAGGGGCACAGAAGCCTGAGACCAGTGTGAGAACTGTTGGTCTAGTGGAAGAGAAGCCAAAGCTCTGGGTGTAGTGTGATTGGTTCAAGTCCTGGCTCTGGGGTAGTAGACAAGTTACTTGTCCTCTCTGAGACTTAATTTCCTTATCTGTAAGCTAGGCTACCCCATCTTACTGTGAGCAACAAGGAAATAATGTATTAATAGTGTTGGGTTCAAAGCAATCATCTTATGAATGTTAATTTTTTTTTTTTTTTTTTGAGACAGGGTCTAACTATGCAGTTCAGGCTGGCCTTGAACTTGCTTATGTAGCCCAGGCTAGCCTCGAACTCACAGCAATCCTCCTACCTCAGCCTCCTGAGTGCTGGGATTATAGGCGTGTTTCACCATGCCCGGCAATAAACGTAGATTTCATCAAGTAATTGATCGGCAGTGTCCTGTTGCATGCTGCGGCGGGCATCCAGTGGCAGAAGCCACAGCTCCTACTCTGAAGGGGTTGCCACTAAGCAGGATGGAGATTCCCAGATTCGTAGTCTTACCTTTGGGCTCAATTCCAAGCTCCACCCTTGATTAACGATCTGACCGTGAGCCAGTCACTTCCTATTGGGAAAAGTCGGATAAAAACATGTACCTATGGTAATCCAGTAACTAGACAGAAAATCCCCACAGGCTTCTTTGGAGCAACTCTATCTCTTGCCTCCGTTTAACTCCTGACTTGTCTCTCCCGTTGCAAACTATGTGAAATCCTCTGCTATTCATTTCCAGAATCTACCTTTTTTCCTGCGATAACAGAACTGTGCCACTAGAGGGCGTCCCGTGCCTTTTTAGTGACTCATTCGCTGTTCGCGCTTCTCTGGAAATGGTCTCCCAGCTGAGATAAATGTAAATTGAGGGTTGCTGTCTCCACGCTTTGCGAGTGTTGCCAAAAAATCCTAATGCAAGACACAATGACTGAGACCTCCTTAAATAAGGCGGGGTGGAGGGGTCGGTGGAAGGGAGGTGCAATATTGCTGCTGCCTCAACCACTTGATGCATGGAACCAATCTCTCTCTCTTTTTTTTTTTTTTTGAGACAGGGTCTCACTATGCTGTCCAGGCTGGCCTCGAACTCGCAACGATCCTCCTGCCTCAGCCTCCCGAGTGCTGTGATCACAGGTGTGCGCCACCACTCCCGGCTGAGCATTTCTTTCTTGCCACGCCGCGCTAAGTGAGTTTGTCCCCCTGAACCCACGGCATCTCAGAGCCACACTGTGGAGCGTGGACACGCGTGGGCACTCACTGTACCAGCTGGAAAATGGGCTCTCTTTCGTAAGGCCCGTGACGTCCAACAAGGAGCCCGGGGGGTCCCGGAGGCCTGTCCTCACTGGCTGCCGGCGCTCAGGGCCAGGTCTTTCTGCTAGGACATTGCTGTCGGCTTTCTGCACGCAGAACCCCTCTCTGTAACAAGTGCTCTATGTTAAGCAAAACTTACAGGAACCCATGGATTTGCATCCGGCCTGATCCGGAGGTGGATCCCAGCGACCGACGCCCTGGGGCCGCTAACTAAGCTGTAGCCAATTAAACTTTTCTGCGTCTCACTTCCTTTTTTCCTGTAAGCGCTGTCCGATCATCATGCTGACCGGAGTTCTTGGAATCCGCTCTGCTTCTGGAAACTGCGGAGGTTTGAGAATCACTTTTTGTTTTGCTTTGTTGAGCAATTGAACTCTGCTTGGCACACTTGGCTGAAGGAATTTTCCCTTTTCACATTTCCAACATCCCCTTTCCTATGCGGAAGCGAAACTCAGGGATTACCTGCGAATGCTCGCACGCCTGCGGACGGAGATAAAACAAGGCCGGGAGGGAAGACACCTTCCAATAAGCGAGCCTCAGGCTTTCCGGTGCATCCCCCAAGGTGAGAGGGCGCCGGCGTTAATTCCCAAAGCGTCCATCAGGGGGCGGCATAGCCCTCCGCAGCTGCACACTGCTCGCCCGGGGCCTCTGGCCGCGAGACGCTGTCTCCCCTTCTGCCGCCTTAGATAACTTCTGAGGTCCCTGGAGCCGAGAGGGGGCAAAGAGAGGAAGTCGCTGGTCACACGTACCCATTATGAGTGGAGTCATGTGCTTTAACGTTTTAGTTTTGTTTTTAAATCATGTGGTAAAACATGATTATGAAGCAACATCTTGGTTTTCTTGAAATTGTTCGGTTACTGGTATGCTCGCCAGGGATGAGTACTCATTTGCCA